ATAATTGAGTCGACGTTTATTTGTGCCGAACACTGTGGCTATATAATCACGTACACCCTGCAGAAGTTCACCGTCGCACGGATCGCCGTGTGAAAAGCTTTGGTGCAAAAAACAAACGCGGAAAAGAGCTTTTACTTCCGAGACCGATATCATTGTTATGGTCGCGTTTCAACATAGGTAATGAACAATTAAACATTTGATCACTCTCAGTGCACTGACTGACGGTGATTTGTTGTGACGTGTGTCCTGGTTAAATGCAAACGGAAGAGGAACAGTATATATATACGAGCTGTTCCGCGTATTGTCGGTTAGTTTCACAAACATCATTGCGTATTTCATAGATGAGGTAGGCATATAAATAAGGACAAATATTATGGAATCTTTAAATATGTCAGTACATACAAAAACATACTTTCGCAATTGTTTTTATGTATTATCATTAACGCTATTTTGAAAAAACAAATAATATGATATCTGTCCACCGTACTAAAACCAACAAACGCCTTAGCTTCACCAGGATATCATTGAACGAATATCAACAAAACTGTGAATGGACATGTTTTACAACCGTTTTCATCAGCGAAATCTTCAATATATTTTACCAGACGTATGCGTTCATAATGCTTTTGATAAACTGCAAACGCCACACATGCTGACGATGACAGTGTTCTACGGACATTAGCTATAGATCGAGTTTATATAACGGCGCATTATTTGCCTAGTCCTCACTGAGCATGAATGGATCGTTCTGGAAAGCTGAACGCGGTCACACTGACACGAAGCCAGTTCTGAATACGTTTGTTCAGTGCTCGTCGGCAGAGATGAAACCACACTTGTGATCTTCAGATACCAAGGTCACTGATGACACACCTCCACATTTGAACCAATCAGCAACGTACGAACTAACATACCCACTTTCTGACCAATGACAATGCTCGTATACACGACCTTCACACTGAGGCTGTTCGCAAAACAACTGCTGACACTTCGTTGCATATATACGGACACAATATTATATATTTAACTGAGTACTACCAAACTGACGTTACTGTTTGAAATTCGGTCAAAGTTGTGGAATTCATGTTGGTGTTGACAATACATTGGCCGTGTTTCCTCCTGCTTAGGTTCTTGTTTATCGGTGATCACATAGATATGTCAATAACGCTTCTCGGCGTATTTGGGTACAGGTGCAATATGTTCGCTGAGATCTGTGACTAGGCAGTTTTCGTTGTTTACTCCAGTCCAAACTATGACTGGAGAGAGAGAGAGAGAGAGAGAGAGAGAGAGAGAGAGAGAGAGAGACTCCAGGAATTACATACGCGGGGCTCCCTTATTTATACTCGAAGATTCCTTGATGGAACATTGTTTATTAACCATACACATAACTTTATTCTGGGGACGTGATGCTTGTCTTGTCTAGCTATACGGTTGTCTGATGTCAATGTAAAGAAACGTATAAAAGACTATATAATTCATGGATGGATCCACACTCCGTCACAATTGATCAATTTCATTCATATAGTTACATTTACGAAACAGTTATTCGCTTGACAAAGCGGAGCTGATGATGCAGCTGTACATATATATACAGAGTGAGATCGTTTAGGAACCATATAAATAGTCAAGTTTGGATGTATAATTAATTTGAATTTTGTGTTCAGATACATGATGGTTAATGGTATAAATCATTGATAAAGTCTGTTAAATAGGGGCGGTCGGGTAGCCTTGTGGTTAAAGCCGTCGATCGTCGATTCGATTCCCGACATGGGTACAGTGTGTGAAGCCCATTACTGGTGTTCCCCGCCGGGATATTGCTGGAATATTGCTAAAGCGGCGTAAAACCAAACTCACTTACTCACTCACTTAGTGAAAATAGGGGGACGGGTGATACAGTTGTCTTGGTGGCACAGGTGGCCCAGTCGTCTAAGGCGCCGCGATTCGCTGTGCGGAAGTTGCGTCCCTTAGGCACGCCAGAAACCTATGATTGTGGGTTCGAATCCCGGTTCGCCCCGATTATGTTTCTAGGTTTGGCAGCACCATACCCGTGCTCGTGGGTTTCGGCGAAGTGGTAAACGTCTGAGACCTGCATCACTTCGGGCCTTCCTCCCACATTAAGCTGACACGCCGTGATATGACTGGAATACTGTTAAAAGCGGCGTTAAACCCAACTCACTCACTCACTACAGTTGTCTTAGGCGCCGCAATTAGCTGTCCAGAGTTGCGTCCCCTGAGCATGCCAGAAACCTGTGCGAATCCCGGTTCGCCCCAAACGTCTCAGACCTGCATCTCTTCGGGCTTTCCTCCCACTCTAAGCTGCCCCACCGTGATATAAACTGGATTAATGTTCAAAGCGGCGTTAAGCCCCACTCACTCACCAAGTGCGAATGGTATGTGTTCCTATAATCAATCAACCGACAAGTGTGAATGTGGGACGACGATGTGACGCGTCATGGTGGATTATTTGTATTTTCTTACTTTGCAATATGTTAAACGCATGCGCATGCAACCATTTCCTTTGTATGTTGACAATAAATGACGGCCTCTAGCAAATAAATCCGTACAACCTCAACGTGTAATGGTTATGCTTCATTTTAAGTTGAAGTCGGATGATACGTAGTTTTATGTTTTCATTTCATTATAAAAGTCAATAAAATAAGGGGCGGTGGGATAGCCTAGTGGTTAAAGCATTCGCTCGTCACGCCGAAGACCCGGGTTCGATTCCCAACATGGGTACAATGTGTGAAGCCCCTTTCTGGTGTCCCCAGGCGTGATATTGCTGGAATATTCCTAAAAGCGACGTAAAACCATATTCACTCACTCTAATTACATATATGTACTTTATAAGATCTGTCATTTCTGGAATACTGCTAAAAGCGGCGTAAAACTATATTTGCATGCACGTCGCTATATAAGTGCAATAATCTTGGACGCGACGTTAAACCCCATTTCACCTCACCTCGCGCACAGGGTTGATGTGTGAATAGCACACACTAATCTCATTTGCATCTTACGTCGCTCCAATTCATTTTATTTCCGATCTGTTTCCGACATGTTGGTACATGCATGCTCGAAGGCCGTGTCACACGCGCAAGCCAAGGCCTTGCGTTCGCCGCTCCACTAACACGAGAAGCTTTTGTCTGGAAGCTGTTACCTGTTGCCGTTTTAGATTTACAAAATAATGAATATTTCATGCATTGCTAATTAAAACATACCACTGTCAGATAAATGTGTTTGCTGTGCATCGTATGGATGCGGATGAGGGGGGCACGTTATACACGGAATTACACCTCGCTGCAGCGGCTTACATTGTGTCATAAATAAGTAACTACAAGGAATCGCAGCTGCTGGGTATGGAATAAAAGCCTATCCCTATCTGTGGATATTCATTTAGGATGTAAGTGAACCAGTTGTTTGAATTTCATTAAGAATTAATTATCTGTTGACACTGTTTCAACAATATACTGGCAGGCAACGCTTCTTTGAGCTTCTGAAGACCTTTCAAATGTTTTGATGAAAACATAAGTTATACAAATGGGCTAACTATTCAAGTCATAATACATATCCTGAATACATGGCTCGGGGTTCTATCGTTGCAATATAGAAATAGATTTATCAATTTTGTATTTTTATGTAGATCAAATAGGATACGTCAAGAAAGAAAGTGCAGGTGCGATTTAAAAAAAATTGTGCTTCATTATCTTTCGTATTGACGGAAAGTTATCACTTTTGATTCCCGGCTTGGAAATTTCCTAAGCTGTTTAGCTTGTGTATTGACGTTTTAACTGCTTTGTGCCGACTCGGCTCGGCATAAACGAACGAACGATTTGATTGGTTCAGGTTAATGTATTCATGGCGATGAGGTCGGCAGTGGGTCATATCGCCGCAATCAGCTGTTCTATTCAGTCTATCGTCTGCCGTCAGTTGGGCAGGTTAGGAAGTTCTAACAAGGATTTACTGTGATATTATGAGTATATGAATCAAACGAACGGTTTACACATTACAATATGATTCCTATGGAGACTTACGAACCACTTGAGGGTGACATTCAAGTAAGTTGGCTTTGTGTTTTCTTGATTTTTCTTGTGCGGTAGAGGCCTGGCTATCCATTTCTCAGCTCAGCTGGCGAGCCGGCCTGGCCGGTAGTTTTCCACTCGGAAGCCGTCAGTGCGGTGTTTAGAAATTAATGACACTTGGTTATTTAGATGCGTTTTGATCTGCTGTTTATGTAGGTTTCCACTGATGATATTATCTTTTTGAATAATGTTATAGATATATTGCTAAAACTTTTTTTCTGCGGATAGCCGGTGCGAGCTTTGTTCGGCAGTCATGGCTCTTTCTGGGTCAGCTGTCAAACCGCTGCAGCTAGCGGAATGTAACAAAGGGTTTGGATCGAACTGCACCTTTCGCTTTCAACATGAACCACTACCGTTAATGCTTAATTCATTCATTACATTTAAGAAATATTTGACGGTATTTGGGCTGAATGAATATCAAAATAGAAGATGACATCACTGTTATGCTACTTATGCTAGATTATTCTAATGTGGACAAGAATAAATTTTCAAAACCCCGCTCTCTCGCTATTTTGCTTCTGGTACTTTTTTCTAACACTTCACCTATGTTTGTGTAGGACTTACTATGTATGTTTTACATTTAACCAACGAAAAGATTGAGAATTGTACTTTGCAAATAAACCGCTGTTTTTGCACGCTCTTTCAATGGGTCCTAACGCATTCACGATTTGAACTCGAACCTTTGACAAAGATCATAGGATGTATTTGCTGTGCACTGAATATATGCATCTACGACCACCTGATGACGTTTTGTTATTTTTTTGTTTTATAAAACAACCGCGTTAAATATAATAGGTCGACCACAAGGAATATGTGGGTTCCAAACATCCTTTCAACCAGAAGTTTCCATTCATAGTCTTGTAAAGAAATGTACAATGAAACCAAGTATTTTTCTACCCCGTTTTAACTAAAATAATTTTTTTGCAGATCGTGCCTGTCGACACACCCGATGACAAGGTAATTATCGACCTTTTTGTTTAATTATATGAGCAGGTGAAGAATTAGGCCCTATTCAAGCGATCCTATCATTGTTTGATGACACTCCTTTGGTCAGTGACGTACGGTGTTCATTGTCCGGCGCAATTCAAGCGTTACACTTGACAATAGAACATCCATCAAAGGAAGGATATGTTATGCTTGCTGATGCAATGTTGGACACCTACAAACTTGTTTGTTTCCTTTCTGGCTATATGCTGATGCAACCCACCCTATCACAAACAGGGAGCATGATCTGCGAATGGACAGCTTGAACGAAACGGATATTAATGTGGCTGATGCAACTATTGGAAATGGGAACTTGTGAATTGTAGCCTATGCTTGATATTGTCGTTTCTTATATTAGAAACCCATCCAGTACCACCTGTTGTTAAATAAAACATGAAGTTGGTTTCATTGTATACGCATATCCGATAACAATGACGGTCATATCAAACATGACGAAATCTTCAACGGCTCCTATGATCGTTCACAATCGTTCTATTATGACCGGTTATTTATTAAACTACCAAAGGGCTTGTCAAACTGCTTTCGCTCCCTTGAAACGGTGATTTGCCTGAAATACCCCGCTTCCGTTTGGGCTGAAAAACAAGGGGCCTCAGTCAGCAATTTCAGTTTAAACAGGCAAACAAAATGACAGCTGAGCGAAATGACCCTGCTCATGGAAACCACTGTTGTCGGATCTATTTATAGACGCTTCCTGATTGGCTTGGCAACTCATGCCACTGGTGTCTATAAATAACCTGGTGGATTCCCTATCTTTCCCCGGGGCCAGATGATGGCTGTCGGTGATAGCTTTCGATTGTGTATTTGGCCTCATTTTCTGAGCTGGGCAGCCGTGTGATACCTGCCGAATACTTGCCTGGACTGAGTCAGCTACTGTTAGATATAGATCCCATGTTATGATGTTATCCCATTATGCAAGCTCTCATTTGACATTGGGATAAAATTGTCACAGAAATATATATCATAAATCAAAACTTGACATGTATGTATATTATCAAAATGAGCTGAGCAATTAACTGCAGTGCAGGTTATTTCATTACAGTAATTTGGTGAAGACAAACGACATCAGGACATATTTGAACATTTTCATAATTTATGAATATTTTAATTACACTTTCGTCTACATGTACTGATTTTGAGGTTATAATATGTTAGTGTCCCAGAATGCAGACCAGTCTGAAACCAGTACAAGCAGGTTTGTCAGGACAGGAAGTGTAGTTATATATTTCCGATTTTGTTTCAGACGAGAACACTGTTTGTTGATGCATTCCTCCAGAACAATCGCCTCGAGCACATCACCCAGCTGATGGGCTATCATCCCGACTACCTGGAATGTTTTCTCCGCACACAGCATTACCTGCTGAAGGAAGATGGGCCCCTTCCTTTTGAATACAGACATTATATAGCAATCATGGTTAGTAGCTGTCTTGCTTATTGTGCATAGTCTTAGCAATGTTGTGTTACAGGCAAGAAACTATGTGTTTTGAATTTCAAAATATTTGATAAGTATATTATCTTTGTATGGGCTTTTTGAAAATTTATACAAGTTAATCAGCACAAGGATACGATAGGAATGAAACCATTTCTTTTTTTATGTCATGCTGGAAACTTCTAGAACGTCGGGGGTCCTAATCATAACCCTAATGTTAACAGTTGGAGATTTAAGGGTTCCTAGATTCAAATAATACAGGAGCAAAAATCAATGACCCCTCTTCGGTTTGAACAATTTTCACATGTTACTAAGTATGTTAACTATTGTTGTCTGATCACATGGCAGTCTGTAAAATTGCCTCTAGTCCGAAGCTCGAGTCTAGTAAAATTCTGTTTGGTCTAGTCAGCTCAGCTTATAAGGGTCCATATTTTAACACTAAAATCTGAAAATGATGCCCGGACTAAGAATATTTAGTGAATGATGTGTGGTATTTATTGTACAGGCGGCTGGAAGGCATCAATGCTCGTACCTGATCAAACTTCAATCCCATGAGTTCCTGCTACAAGGAGGAGACCCTGACTGGCTCAAGGGCCTTGAGAGGATACCTCGCAAGCTCAAAGATCTCAACGAAATTAATAAGATACTAGCTCACAGGCCATGGCTGATTACCAAAGATCACATTGAGGTCAGTTTACTGATATGTTCACCATTTAAAAAATAGGGTTGACCTTGAACCTAATCTGTGTACCAGTTTTCGACCTGAGAACATCTGAGGTAGAATGGGTCTTCAGCAACCCATGCTTGTCATAAAATACGACTATTCTTGTCTTAAAGAGGCGACTAACAGGATCAGGTGGTCAGGCTCGCTGACTTGATTGATGCATGTCATCTGTCCGAATTGCATGGATCGATGCTTATGATGTCAATCACTAGATTTTCTGGTTCAGACTCGATTATTTACAGCTGGAATATTGATGAGTGCAGTGTTAAACAACAAAAAACAAACCAGTTTTCCAAGGTGGACATGCTTCAGTTTTGATGCCTGTTTTCAGAAACTGACCCGTGGAAAGGACAGCTGGTCAGTTAGTGAGGTCGTACATGCACTGGTAATCATGGCACAGTTTCATGCACTGTCAAGCTTCGTCTTTGGTTGTGGGATTAACCAGGAAGTGGATCAAGATGGAGGATACACATTCAGACCCCCATCTGTCAGTGATGCTAGCGAGGTGGACTACTCCAGTGACGGCTCGTCAAGTGGTGAAAATGTAAGTGACACATCCTTAACTTTGTTTACGTTCTGATGACACATCTATAGGTCATCCTTGTGGGGTTTTTGGGTTAGAATTGATCCCGAGCATGCTAACTGATTGGGTGATCTGGCTCAGTGGCTTGGTTGATTGCTTGTCATTGCACCCCCATAGAATGTTGTTATAATATCAATCACTGGATTGTCTCATCCAGATTTGACTATTTATAGGCTGCCATCATGTGGCTGGAATATTGCTGACTTGCGGGATTGAGCACAAACAAACAAACAAACAAACAAACAGACAATGATATGTCAGTACTCCCATTACCAAATAGACTGATAGCACCCTGTTGGTGTCCAGTGTTATTGAACACTATCATGTTGAGTTGAAGGTGACAATTCATGTGTTTCTTTCAGTGTTCTGAGTTTGAGGGCGGTGGTTTGTCGGTGCTGATGGAGAAGATGCGAGCACTGACAGAGGCGAGAGAGGAGGAGATGACGCAAGACGAACTATTGAAACGTTTCCAACATGTCGAGTCTCAGAATGCATTGAGTGAGTATTGACTGACTCTACAGACACCTGATATTGGGAATAAAATATGGGTTGAGATTTTGAGTTCTCTAAATTTTAGATGCCAATTCATAGCTGTAATGTTGCTGAAGGCAACATTAACCAACAAACAAACAGATTCTAATTAATTATACTTTCCATTAAATTTTGGAGTAACAGCTTTTGAAGAATAAAAATTATTCACGGATTTATCTAACTCTGCTCAGAGGCCGATTGTCAGACCCAAGCCTGCAGCAAATCACACTAAAACTTCCTAATTTGAATTTTAAAAATTCTGATTTCTCAGAATCCATGATAATAGGAACATGAAAAAAAAGCAGTGTCATGATTTTGCCAGCCCATGGCACTTTGTTGGGAATCCTACACAAATGGGTGATGTATAGTTCTGAAACACTTTGAATTGTTTGTCTAATATTTATTCCTTTTTCACTCATATTTGTGTTGTATCTTTCAGTCACAACAAACGCACAGCCACCTTCCCCGAAGTCTGACATCCTGTGCTATGTTGATGATACAACGTTCCAGTATGAGGACTTCGCTAAGAGGGGCTCAGCATCCGAGATTCCAACGTTTCGAGCTCAGGACTATTCCTGGGAAGATCAAGGCTTCTCATTGGCCAACCGGTTATACACCGATGTGGGCAACCTCCTTGATGAGAAGTTCAATGTGGCATACAATCTCACATACTACACGTGAGTAATGTTATTCTACTCATTCAGTTGTAAATAATAGAGTTTATAATTCAGCAACAATATTTAAATTTGTTGATGTCAGAAATTCCAGGAAATAAGCTAACAAGGGCTCCCCTTCTCAGGGATTTAAGTAGACCTGCTCAGATATTTGATATTTTGGGAATGTGGACGTTTGAGTTGTATGTTTAGGTTATTTTTATTTGCTTTGGGGGTCGATGCTTAGAAAGTAATACATTTTTACAACTCGTGTATTTATAATTCTGTTTTGTAACAGAATGGGTGACAACACATCGGTAGACACCACGGCATTCCGGCGGACAATCTGGAACTACATCCACTGCATGTACGGCATCCGTCATGACGACTACAACTACGGGGAAGTGAACCAGTTGTTGGAGAGAAACCTGAAGGCCTATATTAAAACAGTTACATGCTACCCAGAACGACTCAAGAAGAAGGACTATGATGGCGTGATGAGAGAGTTCAAACATTCAGAAAAGGTGAGATATTTAAATTAGTCCGATGTTGAGGGACCATCACTTGTACACCTACTGTTGATCTCTGGTATCGTGTAAACAATCAATTAATAATTATTATTGATAATGCCATTTTTTCACTTTTCTCTGCATTTAAAAATAACATCAACGAAATATGAATGTATCAAAATGAGCGATTTCTCCTCTCCAGTAGAATACTTTTTTTCTATGCTTTGTTATTAAGGTTATAAATACATATAATATACGGTTATATGGTTATTACGAACTCAAAGGAACCACAAATTGTAGTTTGTAATAACTGTAGTTCGTTATAAGCATCTGTACAGCATATATACAGCAGTGGCCGGGACTAAAAAATATGTTTGTGATATCAGTCAGTTCGTTATAAGTGTGTTCGTTATAAACCTAGTTTTCTGTACTTATAACATTTTTCATTTCTTTCAGGTGCATGTTAATCTGATGTTGTTTGAGGCCAGGTTGCAGGCGGAATTGTTGTACAGTCTTCGTGCAGTGATGCGTCACATGACGTGACACCGTGGATACCAATGTTGCAGGATGCAAGTGTTGTGATAGCCAAGCTGGGTGATGTGAACTTGGCGAAAAAAACGGTGGTTCATTAATGGCCATAGGTGCTGTCTGCCTCCTTGCCGCCCACGCCTGTTGGCCTACCTGTGGACCCTACTGTGGGATTCACCTGGCTAGAGCGAGCAGCCTTGTGAAGGAAGGCCTGCCCTGGCTATCTGTGATATTTTTTACTGTAGTATGTATATCTGAGTATGTGCTGCCATGATGAACCTGCATTTCAGGAGGTCCGTGTGGAGCCGAGTGAACTGGTGAGCGAGTTGGTGAGTGAGTTGGTGAGTGAGCGAGTATGGGTCAGTGGGTGACTGAATGCTTGCCCCCAGAGCGGGGATCTCCACACGTTATTTTATACCTGTCACCTTCTCCATTCCGTGGTCAAGGTCGATCTTGTCTTTCATGGAGTGGTGCTCCTAGACTGTTGTATGTGACACTATGTACTTCCGACTCATGAGTGACACTTGTGACGAACATGTTTGCAAATCCAAAGATCTGCAGCAGCTCAGTTGCAGACATGCACGTGAGTGCATGCACATGCATTCCGACTGCTGCCACAGTGACTGTGCATACTATATTCTAATGTTGGCATTATTGGGTTCTAGTCAGTGAGACTACTACGAAACTGGGTTCCTATTATTACTTCACCTTCATCGGCATACACAGCCTGTAGAGGTCAGTGTCATTCATGGCGCAAAATAATAAAGCCAAACCAATTTATTTAAATATTGTGCAGGTAAACTTAAAAAATTTTACAATATGCTCTTTGATCAAAATTGAATTAAATCTTTTCAAGAGTTTTTTTAAAAATCATCCCTGACCAGGTTTTTAGTTTATTTTTTACTGCTGTCTAATGACATCAAGTCATCTGTAAAACGTTATATTGAATTGGTTTTACAAAATTACAACACTTAGGATCACAGAATTTACAGATGTTTTGGACAGACTTATAACAAAGAGAAAATTTACTTTAATGCCTTTCAGAAATGAATTCATTTCAATCAGATATGATTGCAATGTTTGTAGAATCTGATTCATAGTAAGGGCTGTTCATCGTCCTGTTGCCCATGAGGTTTCCATGGTTACTTTGGAGGGGGCTTTGACCAACACAGACTGTGTGTGAGGTGGTTGTATTAGGGGTAGTGTTTCATTTAGATACGTAGATTTGCATCCTTTTTCTACACCAATACATGTACAAATTTCTGATTTGTGAACTGATCTTATGTGACTTTACTAGCATGGATGGAATGTAACCCGTAAGGTTTCTTGCCCAGAAATCATCCTGAAAAACAAAGGATACCTTTAACATAAACTCTGGTAACCATGGTTACAGGACAAAGGTTGATTCTATCCATCTAGGACTCTTTTCATCAACTGCTGCACCAACAGTTAACACCACTGATGTTATTAGTCTAGATAGTTCCACACTGCCATCAAGTTCAAAATCACTGGAAATTTTTATTCCTGCTGATAATGGTTGTTCCAAGATTCCTCAAAATGGTTTCAATGATGAACACTGATTTCTCAGTTCAAGTACAAACATATTCCCTATCTCCAAACCTTTAGATTCTTTATTCGATTTCTAAACAAATCATCACTAACTCCAACTTGTTTGATACACTTGACATGTTTTTCCAATGCATTTGCATATTATCCCAGTGATTTTGACAATTATGGTAATCATGTGTTATTTAATGGCATTCTTTACGGTAATATCAACACAGTTTTATTACAATGCCTGTTCTTACTTCCACGGTGATGTGAAGACTTGTATGCTGATAACTCAAATGTACAAGAATGTGAATTGTCTATAGTATTGTGAGGGCAGAGAACTATTTTTTGAACTCTCTATAAACTGTTACTATGAAAATGTTAAAACATCTACAAGTTGTACAGATTGTTAAACTTGATTACATGTATGTTTGATTTGATGTACCTGGATCTACCAGTCTGTTCCATAGTCATGTCATGGATGCAATATACCATTTGCCTGTAACTTGTGTTAGGATGCAAGGTACACTATTGTATCATGATACATATGATACAAACACCACTTTGCAAGGGTTCTATCCATGTGCCATGCACCTTATCACAAAGCAGATTCCTGGTTCATTTACATGCAGAAGTTACTTTGTTTTTATTTTATTTTAATTTAATTTCCAATTGGTTTTTGGCAGGTGAATTCTATGTGACACAAACCCTCTATTACTAATCTGCTCTCCAAGTAACCCTCACTAATACAACAAATGTAATCTGCCCGTTGTAATCAGATGCTTGTTGATAGTCACCGTTTTATTTTGTGTCCATATGGGCATGTTACTCACATTGCAATCATTCCATGTGTGTAGACATGTTGATGTTGGTCTCGTGCCACTGATCAGTAGAGTCAACAACAACAACAACAACAACCACCACCATGCCCCTCCAGGCTTCATCACGAGATGATGAATTCAAATAGTTCCCACCATGTTTTTTTTGCCATCGAACATTAGCAAGCTACACTGAGATTACTTCTCTATCATTAGTGCTATAGCCATGTCATTTAAGCATGCAAAGTACCCTACAATCCATCTGACAACGAGATTAACCATTCCTACGTTACTGTTGTAATATATTGGAGGTATTCATTGTCAGAATAGGTCAGGTTTTCTATTGGTGCAATTATTATGGTATGTTTGTTCAATATTTATCTGCTTGATACCGTTTCCTGATTGGTCAAGACAATCAAGGGTTGATGAGGAAATCTGATCAGGAAACAGTAGCAAGGCTTGACTTTGTGTGCTGAGACCAACCACTGTGCATAGTTATCTCATCTGTAAGATGTTTGGGAGGGTTCCGTAGTTAGGTGGTGCCACAAGACTTGAAAATATCTGGTAGGGTTTCAGTTTCGCGTACCAGATGCCCAGTTCAAGGTGGTCATTCCCCAGAAATGGTTATCTCAGCATCCTCAGTGTTAATGTCATAGATTATTTTTGAAGTAGAACAATATCAAACTTTGTGATATAAAAAGGATTAGACCGCATTAGTTATTTATTTGAAAATGCAAACAATACTAGAGTGAAGTCCTGTAGATTCAATAGTCCTGTACTAGGTTGGATCCATTGTTACTAGTGTGATGGCTTACATCTATAAGGATGAGATACCCAGAGATGTCGGTCTCACGAAGCTGTGGTGTGAGTGCACCAGGATTCAATCAAGGTCTGATAACCATGTGAAACCTGAATCTCTCAATGAACCTCCTGTAGTGTTGAAACAAGATGTCCATTATACACAGGTTGCTGGTTTCAAGAGGTTGTGAGCTGTGTAAATGAACAGGACTCCTGGTTGGCCAGGGCCATTCACGAATCAGTCTTGGCCCGACAACTGTTGCACCGCCTATTCTTTAGCAGAAACGTGTGAGAGAATTGGAGTTTCGGTCACCATGGCGCTAACATCACTTTGTGGAATTGCCCTAGACCTTGGATAGGTGATTTGAGTACTCTTTCCCACTGACTTTGACTTTATTTATTACTGGGTTGTTTACTGACATACAGTATTATGTAACACGTGTTCGTACTACTCGTTAGTACAAGCTAAGGCGTACTCTGTACAGGCATTGTTTTTAGCCCTTTCCTACGTTGTGATAACATGTTGCTTCAAAATAAACATCAATCAAATCAAGACAAATCTTTGTTTTTTTATTCGTATACATAAGTTACCAGTATGACTGTTGGTTCAATTCATTGAAAGGTTTGTTTGTTTGTTGTTTAATAGCACACTCAGGAATATTCCAGCTATATGACAGTGGTCTGTAAATAATTGAGTCTGGACAAGACAAATCAGTGACTGACGTCATGAACATTGATCGACTCAATTGGAATATGATGACATGCATCAACAAAGTCAGCGAGTCTGACCATCCGATCCTCTTAGTCACCTTTTACAACAAGCGTAGTCACCTGTTACAGCAAGATGGGTTGCTGAAGACCTGTTCTGTCATGGATCTTATTGACAGGTGTGGGAATATCCCACTCAAAAGAAAAGTTAAAGAAAGTCCCACTCTTTTTCATATGAATATATATATATAGAGCGTCCCCCTGGAGAGCGGAAGGTCCGGGGTTCGATCCCCGGCCGCGTCATACCAAAAGACGTTAAAAGGTGGTATTTGTTGTTACCCTGTCTGGCACTCAGCATTAAGGGGCTAAAACAAGGACTGGTCGGCTCGGAGTCAGTATACTGTGTCTGAGTGGGGTATTCATGTTAAACTGCGGCATGGTATCTCAGTGGGCTAGCACTATAAATCGGCATCAGTCCACACACACACGTACATGCACATCCCTATATAAGTGCAATAATCTTGGACGCGAGGTTAAACCCCATTTCACCTCACCTCATATGAATATAGTTTATTTGTAATAGTCATTTGAAAAAAGTCGGCATTCTATAACTTCTTTTGAGTATGGGTACATCTGAAATGGGCTTTACACATGGTACCCATATGGGGAATCGAACCCAGGCCTTAGGCTGACAAGCAAACACTTTCACCACTGGGCTGCCCACCCACCCCTCATGACTTGGGTTGTGTGCACCCCTCCTTGAAAATTGGGTGAGCCTGTGAACCATATAGGTATGATCTATGAATACAGGGCATGTCAGCTTGAAACAAGTCATGATGACCTGAAGGCAGGCCATGCACTGAGGCCCTGAAGTTTATGGATGGACATGGTCCTTCTTCACGCCCGCTAACAGAGTCACGTGCATCGCCACCTGGCACACAACCACCGATTGGAATCTTTGAAAAGGCTTTTTTAGAACATCTGACTTGAGTCCCAAACATCATGTGGTCTTACCAGGGTGTAAAATGTTGCACCATACGCTGTGACTCCGAAGGACTATAGCACTTGGTGTGAAAATCAATGAGGTTCTATCCAGGTGTTAAGGGCAAGGGGGTTCTCATGAGAGGGGAGGGGGGTTTTCGCGAGTGGGGAGGGGGTTGGCTTCTCAGTGTGCAGTTGCACCATGTCACGTGGTGTTTGTCGTTGGACCTGTCTATGTACAAAAGTGCGGCGAATCAAACACAGTGGTGTTGACAGTTGGGGTGACGTAGCCGAGAGGGGCACATGTAGACGCGTATTGTCGGCCATGTCGCCGTCAGCTCAGTCAGCGTTATTTTTGGAGCCTTTGTCACTGGCACACAGGGAGCAGATGTACCGGTAACAGATGTGATCTCTGAGGTCATGATTAGGTCATGAGCCGATCAAACGGGAGAATTCAGTAATGTCTGCAAGCGGCGCGAGACAATAGTCAGGCCATATTTAACATCCATCTGTGATACGTCACCGATTCTACATACCAGGGCGACTGTAATCATTTCTATTCATGGAATATTACTTTTAGATTGTCTTGTTTAACGTAAGCACTTATTTTATCCCGAAAACATAAGCCATATATGGTAAAATACTATGTTCTTATAGCTGCGAGATCTATGGTTTTGGAACAGCACTTTGACGGATTTTGTTAAGTCAGGTGCGATATCAACATCGGACTTTAGTAGAATTTTATGACGGCCTGATGTAGCTACGTATGTATAAGCGAGCTGTGGATGTCGGAAAGTTTGTTTGTTTGTTTGTTGTTTAACGCCACACCCAGCAATATTCCAGCTGTGTGACGGCGGCCTGTAAATAATCGAGTCTGGACCACACAACCCAGTGATTGACATCATGTGCATCGATCCACGCAATTGGGATACGATGACATGCATCGACCAAGTCAGCGAGCCTGACCACCTGATCCCGTTAGTCGCCTCTTACGACAAGCATAGCCGTCTTTCGGAGTTGTACATGGCTACAGTTTTGAAGCTGTGGTTTGTTAAAAAGCATATTTGTTTCAAAATATTTCAGTCAAAATCGCAGTGATTTGATTTTCTGGCCAATGAATGTATTTGGTGAACTAATAATACTGGGTCACAGCGAAATTGAAATTTGAACTTATTACCAAGATCTACATTTTCGCCGAATATAAGTTCATGACAAAAATACAAATGTTATTCAGAAAGAGGTAGTGTACCCATCACGATCTTCTTTTTCTTTACATGGGTTCAGACCCGTGAAGATCCGGAGTAGAATAGATCCTCAGCAACCCATGCTTGCTGTAAAAAACGACTATACTTGTCGTAACAGGCTACTAACGGGATCGGGTGGTCAGGCTCGCTGACTTGTTGATGCTTGTCATCGACCCCAATTGCGTGGATCGATGCTCATGATGTCAATCACTAGATTGTCTGGTCCAGACTCGATTATTTACAGACCGCCGTCATATAGCTGGAATATTGCGGCGTTAAACAACAAACAAACAAACATGGGTTCAATGCATGCGTGGCCTGAGTGACCATTGCGTGTACTACGGGCTGACCCTTCTAACTGTGTACACTAGTCTGACTTTTTATCCCTGACACATTAGCGAACGGAAGAGCGTTTCCGTATTCATATAGTGACTATTTTCAATAATATGATTGTTCATCAGCTGATCGCCCTGGCCGGTCCCCTACAGCAAGCAGTCGAACAGGGAAGTGATCGCCGCTGAGATAGTGGCGCGCATGAAACTCAAGTGACACGCGGCCCAAAGCAATTCTTGAACCCGTGCACGGAGGTCGGCAGTTGAGGAAAGGTCGCTTTATCTCCCACGAAACTTAATAAACCCAACCTGACTGATCCTATCTGTAGACCCTTATCTTCGTGACTAACCAAAGTGACGTTGCGCAAAAACATACCAGAAAAATAGATGACATCAGTTGTGCAGGCTATGGCGTCAACAACTGTTGGGTGTTTCTGAATTTTAATCGAAGTATTATTGACATACGTGCTTTTGTTACAGATTCTGAGGTCAATCAATCATTGATACAGATTATGAGGTGTGTCGTCAGTGTTTGCGCTTTATCACGTCTCATCGCCTTAGGTAACGCACCTAGATTTCAACACATCTACGACATGTCGTCAATTGAATAATAGATGGTTTGTTTTTGGACTCGTTATAAAGATTTTATAAAATTGTTTTAGCTTTCTCATAAGTACACAGACCAACGCCCTGTTTTTTGTATTTATATTTTCAAATCATTTCTATGCAGGACAGTGAGAATTTAGAACTTCTGTGGAAACGGTGAGGTGAGATGGGGTTTACGTCGTTTCTATGGCGATATGTGTGTGTTTGTATGTGTGTTTGTGTATGGCTGCTTGTACTGTCCCGGACCAATGCCGGTTTTATAGCCCTCTGAGACACCATGCTGCAGTTTAACATGGACACCCTACTAAGACAGTATACTGACTCCGAGCCAAACAGTCCTAGTTTTATGCCAAGCGCCGTAGCAACAAGTACCACCTTTTAACATATTTTGGTTTGATGTGACAGAGGATCAAATCCTGAACCTTCGCTCTCCGGGGAGGGCGGTCGGGTAGCCTTGTGGTTAAAGCGTTCGCTCGTCACGCCGAAGACCCGGGTTCGATTCCCGACATGGGTACAATGTGTGAAGCCCATTTCTGGTGTCCCCCGCCGTGATATTGCTGGAATATTGCTAAAAGCGGCGTAAAACCATATTCACTCACTCACTCACTCACTCTCCGGGGAAACGCTGTATCCAACAAAACACAGATGCGGTCTCTGTTGAAACGAAATGAAATAGCTGTATCTATATACTGGCAATCGTTCGTCTCATTGTAGCGTTTGTTTGTTTGTTTGTTTGTTGTTTTTAACGCCGCACTCACAAAATTTCTCGGCGATCTGTAAATAACCGAGTCTACAATACAGTGATGGACATGCGCATCGATCCACGGAATTGGGATACGATGACATGCATCAACCAAGTCAGCGAGCCTGACCACCCGATCCCGTTAGTCATCTCTTACGACAAGCGTAGTCGCCTTTTACGGTAAGCATGGGTTGCTGAAGACCTATTCTATGGTACTTAGAAACACATTCAACATTGGTTGTTGTTTGTTTGTTGTTTCTTCACGGGTGCTCATTGTAGTGCACATATCTACCATTTATGAATATTTAATCTTCATCACATATATTGCAGGTGGAACATATGTACTTTTAAGCAACTGATATTTCCAGTATACAAGCCAGTGTTAATACAGACTGCAACAAGGCTGTCAACCCCATTCTCGTGAAGGCGTGATACAGGTTATTTATAGGGAGTAAAGGCAAAACAATTGTATTTGGTACGCAAAAACTAATGTTATTTTTCAAGTAACGTAGCTTCAAATTGCACCATTTTATTACCTAGGAATGTGTTCTGTACGTTTTCGTTCTGCCTTTGTAGAGTGAATGCTTTTACACACGTATGCTTTTTAAATTTGTGTTAAGTAGTTTTCATGATTCAGAGGTGAGGTGAAAGTGGGTTTAACCTCGCGTCCAAGATTATTGCACTTATATAGCGACGTGCATGCACGTGTATGTGTGTGTGTGGCTGCTTGTACTAGTCCGGACTGATGCCGATTTATAGTGCTAGCTCACTGAGATACCATGCCGCAGTTTAACATGAATACCCCACTCAGACACAGTATACTGACTCCGAGCCGACCAGTCCTTGTTTTAGCCCCTTAATGCCGAGCGCCAGACAGGGTAACAACAAGTACAATCTTTTAACGTCTTTTTGTATGACGTGGCCCGGGATCGAACCCTGG